TATATATATATCTTTCAATCTTCCCCATTACATTTCTCCTTTTTCTTCTCTCTTTTTCTTCTTCTCTTTTATAAAAAAAGTCACTGATGATGAAGAAACTAAAATCCAGTTCTGTTTTCTACTGAAGTGACTTAAAAGAAGAAGGAAAAAAAAAAAAGAAAATGTAAAACCAGTCTATGACTTAAATACTCCTAAACTTTTCTTGTTCTGTTGTTGCAATGTTCAACTGTACATTCTATCCATCCACACGCTGTGCAGTGTTCACCTTCTTCAGTCTGTCTCGGCCCCCACTGGTCTGGATGGCCTCCATCAAGTTACTGTGCAGAGATGTCTCTTTCTCAACAGATTTACAGAGGACAGGCTTGAACTTTTTAACGGGTCCGAACACCGTCACAGCCACAGGTCCGGCGTCCACGTTACTGTCCGATACTGTGGCTGAGGACTGCGGTTTCATGTCCTGACCTGTATCCTTCATGCCCTGTAACAAATAAATAATTATAGAAATAGAAATAGGATTGATTTCTGAAAATAAAAGAGGTGTCATATATTTCAAGTTTTACTTACATTTATGTGTTCTTGAGAGGTGATCTTTGGGGCTACGGGTGGTTTGAGGGATGAGTGCAGAGCAGGGGTTCTGGTTTGATCTGGTTTGACATATTCTTTCCTAATATTGTCCATCACTTTCTTTTGAAGGAATTCACTGTTGTTGTTCTTGACTGTTTTTGTGTCCAACACATCAGAACCTTCTTTGGTGAACGTGGTACGGTTTGAAAACCCTTCCTTGTCTAATTTCCCTTTTCCAAGATCTCTCTGACTATTTGACACATACTCTGGGTAGCTTGTGGAGCTTTTGGTACCAGGAAGGCTTGGAGTCACTTGAATGGAAGGTCCTGATCTCTGAACGCCAGCAACAGTCTGTGTTTCCAATGACTTGTTGGAGTCTGGGCCTTTGGGGATGCTAAAAGGTTGAACTGAAGTCTTTGGGGTGTACTTAGCGATGGCAGAAGCCACATATTTGCTTGAGGTTCGCCTGGATGGTTTGAGAAAGTTCAGCTGCTGCTGTTTTGAGTCTGCAGGTAGAGGAGGGGGAAGGGCAGGCTTACTTGGCAACGGAACATAACGCGACGCTGAACTCCTGCTCTCCACCTCAACCCCCTTTTTATTTGCGAGTGTGACAACGTTCCCAAGCTCTTTAGTTTCTTCCTTCACCACCACCATAGGTTGGACTGTCTTTGCGGGTTCAGCAACTGCACTTTGCACAGTTTTCTTTTCCACAGCAGAAGTACCGCTGAGACCACTGACGTTATCCTTAGTCTTATCAATCAGAGCTGTTCTGTGAATAACAGCATTGTCTTCTTTTTCATTGGAGCTCCAAAATGTTTTGGCTTTTTCACAAAGAGGAACACCCTCGTTAACTGCTGATTCAGATGATCGACCGCTTTTTTTATGGGAGATACCTACTGCCACCATATTTCCTTGATCATCTATCTTAATGGCACCAGTGCTTAGCGTCCTCGCTGGCTGAGTCGCAGCAGCTTGTACGTTCAAGGGTTTGGGAGGGACCACAGTAAAGGTCTTCATACCAAAGCGTGATGGGACGTTTTGAGTGATTTTACCTTGTGAAGTGCTAAAACTAGAGTTGTTCCGGGAAGCTCTTTGTATCTCTTTATTGTTTTCTGCAGGTAATGATATCTGAGTTACTGGTGAGAGATTACAGGTTGGTTTCTGTAATGACTGAGAATTACTTTTCAGAGGATCAGACTCCAGCTCAGTGGGCCTGCTGTTTTTCTGCACATCAGCATTAGATCTTGTAGTCAATGTTTGTTTCTCCTTTTTCACATTTTTTGTATCAGCACTACTCATCTGTTTCAAATTTGTCTCTGTTGTTTTCTCTTCCTTTTCAACACCCGTGGATTTGTTCTCTAGCGGTTTCTTCATCTGCTCAAATTGCTCAGAATTTGCACTGCTACTTTTTTGACTAACAGCAGCTGTATAAGCATTGTTGTTTTTGTTCTGTGGCTCCACATTGGATGGTTGACAAAAGCCTTGATCTGTAACAAAAATGAGTCAATGGACCAAAAATAGTATTTGCATTTAAATGTTATTTAACTGCAGTGAGATACAGACACGCCAGTCAGTCCATTTACCTTCCTGATCAGCTGACTCAGTCTTGGTGAGCAGTTTCACATCATCCTCCACACCATTATGTTCATACTCATCCAGTACTTCGTCTATGGCTGTAACTGGCACATACATGTCCACTAAAGACACGGGTATCTCATTACTGTCAGTGGACTTGGTAAACAGGGTGTCTTTTCCTGACACCATATTTGAGTGATCTAGAAAAAAAAAAGATAAAAAAAGATTAACTAAACTATTTTCAGGAAAGGGTCTGGCTGATTAAAATATAACTATTATTTTTTTGTTTAGGAAAAGAACATTCTTCTGGGAACTGTGAAGTGACATGTTTTACAACTGTTGGATGATGGTGTTTGGCAAAATATTATTTGTTGAACATATACAACTAGGCTGCTTCATTAAAGACAGAAATCAGTTTTAGTTGAACTGTGGCTTTTTGACATTCCCCTTCACCTGCGAGGTTTGTTTCCAAATCTGCCAGAGTCTGGTGGAGCTGAGCTGTGAGATCTGAGTCATCTTCAAAGCTGTTGACTGATTGCTTCTGAGGGCTGGTGTCAATCTGACTAAAAATGATACAAAAAAATGTGTGAAAGATAACTACACAAACATAAAGAACAACATGCAAATTTGATTCAACACAGACAAAAAAAGCTAAGTGCTCAGAAGGAATGGTCCAGTTTTAAAATAATTTGTTTTGTTATGTATGTAAATTAATTGATTTGCAAGAAACTGGTATGTCTGAAACTGGCATCAGTGTTATCACAAGTGTTATCAGGCAGCTGCCAGTGTCCAACAGTTAGTCAATAACAGTATAGAGCACAAGACACACAGGGTGCCTCATAGGCTATGTTTACACTGCAGGTCTTAATACTCTATTCAGATTTTTTTTTAAAAAAATCAGATCTTTTTGTGTGAACGTTCACATTACATTTTAAATGTGACCTGTATCAGACTCCAGTGTGAACGTTCCACAGCACTGATGTGACACGCGTGCGCAGTAAAAGACGTGCCGTCTCATCTGCCGGCTTGTTTGTTTACAGAGTTAGCGTGGATGCTACTTTTTGCACATCAAATCTGAAGTTGTTGTTTAATCTCAGAGCCAATTAAATAATTATCTGACCTGCTTGTTTAGTTCAGTGTTTATATCTGAACCTGCCTCTGACTGGATGCTCCAGTGAAACTTTTTTTATTTTCGGAAGAAAGGAACGAGCTGGGAATAAAGTATCGACTAACTTTAGGATCGATACGCTCCAGTCCAGGCTGGACGTCGTTATTATCTTACTAGCTACACCAGGGGTGCCCAAACATTTTCCCTGAGAGGGCCAAAATTAAAATCAATCTGAGGGCCGTGGACCAAACACAGTAATATAAGAAATGCAAATACTTCTTAAGTAAAGTTGTTTTATTTTTTTATGATAAAGCTAGCAGCCAGTGTGTTTGCCCACATTCTTTTTTTTCAGCCCATGGACTTGGAGAAAATTCAACATTCAACAGGCTCATGGGACTTGTCATAATTTAAAATTTGAAAGGTGTGCAAATCTAGATATGGGCTTAAATCTAATCTAAATGTCTTTTGTAATTGTATTTTATATTTAGACAGGTTTCCTACAATCTTAACATAATTCCAAGTAACCAGGACAACTGCTGGCGGGCCAAATCAAATGGCTTGGTGGGCCAATTTTGGCCCGCGGGCCACACTTTGGGCACCTCTGATCTACACGGAAAATTAAAAGTAAAAAGATGAAGCAAGTGGACTTCTGCTTTGGAGCTGTAAACACACGGAGCTACAGATTTAAACAGCGTGACATGAGGTTAGTGTCTTATCGATCCTTCACCCCCTCCTCACTGATGAAAAAGTCAGATGAATGTGACATGAGCGTTCACACTGCAGTCACTTTGAAAACATCAGATACATATCCGATTTAAAACCACATACTGAAATAGTCTGGGTTGGATTTGAAAAAAAAAAAAAAAATCGGATTTCTTGCGTTCAGACTGTCATAAAAAAATCTGATATGCGTCGCATGGGGCAAAAAAAAAAATCGCATTTGGGTCGCATTTGCCTGCAGTGTGAACATAGCCATAGACACATGAAATGGATATTAACAGCACTTAACACAGTTTGATAGGGTTGTGCTGAGTTTGTATAAAGCCAGGTGGTCATACTGTACAACTGCAGCATGTGGAACCTACAAACTCACAGTGGCTTGATGCGGGAACTGACAGGTACATGACAGCATACAAAGTTATGAGACTCTTCACAAAATACTGCGCCCTCTCTCACGATGTCTCAACAACTGGCATCAGTCACACAGCAGGTTCACCATCCTATGAATAAGCTGCCATTGCCTCTAGAGCAGAGGTAGCTGAATTTGGTGTAGTGCCATAATCAGGAAGCAAAGACAGATGAGTGGTGTGTGTCTGTTCAGCGATGAATCTGTTCTGCATTAACAAAAATAACCCTTGCGTGCTTATATGGTGGTGCTGAGGGAGAAGTTCTGCTAATGTTGTGGAGAGACACACCAATATGACTTCTTTTATTATAGTGTGTGACAGCACCATAGTACAGTCTGCCAACAGGCAACACTCATCCACACGAGGCAGGTGTGTTTGATTAGCTCTGCAAATAATCACTGCTTATATCCAAGCCTGCAGAGGTGCCACACCCTACTGATATGGGACCAGCAGTACGCCTGCACTGTTAACTATGTGGGGTATGATATTGTAATCCCTGCAATTTCACATGACCTTTAACATGTGCAGTTTCATTTCATTAACACCACTGCCTAGATGCTGAGCTTTTTTGTTAATGAGTGTAAAAGGACTGCAACAGTGTACAGAAAATAACATAAAACTGATGGATTTTTAGCTAGAGCTCCCCCATGAAAAAAAAATGCTATAAACAGTTCATTTAAGTTTAAATGCAGTTCAGAGGTAAAAGAATGCACAAATGTGAGTACATGTTTGTTCAAAGTTAGATTTCAGTTTTACTGAAGCTTGCTGGCTTTAAAGCACACTGCTTACTGCCTTCCTCTACTTTTTTGTGGTTTCCAAGCAGCATTCTTCAGAATTAGTGTCATATTAGCCATAACAAATTGAAGCAAGAAGGCCAAACCAAATATATATTTTTTTATTTTCAAGAAAACTTGGACTGGTCCTCTTTTCCTGACAGATTCTGAGAAAACATGGTTACAGTGCTTTCCTGGAATACTGACAAGTCAGGAACAGACCCTAGTTTCATCAAGTTTCTAAGAGTAAGAACATCAATCCAACATCCTTGGTCTGGGCATGCAACCATTACACAACTACCTAAGAAATATGGAGCAACATTTTTTAATAAAAAGGCTTTTGAATAAGGGTTTAAAACCATAAATACGAAAGCTCAGCATAAAAAAATAAGTGCATGTTTTGACTATAAATCAAAAACAATATAGTGGAGTTATTCTTGCTTATAATTTTACTGCTTACCGTAGAAGAGTGAAAAAAAAGTTTGCTGAAACTGTCACAAATCACACTGTAAAAATACAAGTGTGTGTGTGTGTGTGTGTGTGTGTGTGTGTGGTGAGGGGCAGCAAAGCTTTGCCATATACAATAATGTCAGTAACTATTTCTAAGTGAGTTTAAAGTTATATATGACACTGACAGCAGGGTGAATGACCCATGGTTAATTTTGGACAGAGGTGGGCACGGTCCCACTAACAAGAGAACAGATAATAGCAGGACAAATTTTTTTTGTTTAGCGGATTATATTTTTCACAAACTTCAAAAACTGTTAGCAGACCAATTAGTTCCCACTAAATTATGTGTTGCCAACTTTATGTCCGCTAACAGCCAACTAACATCTAACCAACAAACTAACATCAATAGGTTTGTGTTAGTCCCACTAGCTAACTGTTAGCGTTTGCTTTTTATATTTTTACATTTAGCACTTTAGCATTAAAGCTATATTTTTAGTTAGCGGATTGAGTTAGTGAAGCTAACCTTTTGCCCACCACTGGTTTTTATTTTAGACTAACCTGAAAATGTCAAGATCACAGGTGAGTGAAAGGTAAGAGCTGATTAAAAGACGATGCACTGAGTTTGCTGCTGATAAACAAAGTCCCTCCAATCTACCTGTGTTTTGATCTCCAGGTGGCACATCCCTCATCGCTGTCACTAGAAGTGTCTCTCGGTGGTTCCACAAGTTCCTCTCCTCTGCTTTCAATTCTTCCATCCACTGATAAACTCCCGTCAGGAGATGTCGGTTGGGTGTCGGACGGAGAGCTGGTGACGCCAGAGTCCTCGCCTTCTGCCATCACTTCAGAAGGTATGTAACCCTGGTCGGGCAGGCTGCTGCCAACACTGCTGCTGCCTAAAGATGAAGTCTCAACCTCAGGTGCAGTAGTTTCTTCTTTCTGGACTCTGGATGATGAGTTCTTCATTGAATGGATCCAAGCTAGGGGAGGATAGGAGAAATTCTTGGAATCAGTTTTGAGTGTTATTAAACCAATGAAAACAGTCCAAACTACAAAACAAAATCTCCCAGTAGTTTGGTTACTGTATGTTCAAAACTCGCTTAATGTAGGTTTGTTTACAGACAAATGCAATAAATCCAAATTTGATTTAGTTTTCTCTTTTGAAGTTTTGCACAAAATAAATTGTGCAAGTATAGCTCAGAAAGGGAGAGAACAGATATGTAAAAGAAACACAGGATGCAGAGTGTAGGGTTGGGCAATGTCGGCAAAAAAAATCATGATTAATCGTGGTATTTAGCCGATAATGATTAATTTGACGATTAATCCCCTGAAGTCTCTGGACACCCTCATGTCCTGGTCACAAGACCAATTTAGTAGGAAAGATTTGCTCTTCATAAAAACCTGTTCCAAATTGTGTCAAAATTACAGACTTCAGGCTGTACATCAAATCTTAAATTGTGCTGATAGATAAATAAATTACAGAATGTTTTTTTTAATGTTCATCATATTTGAAGCAGGGTGGAGCAGCGAGCGGTCTCTGCCTGGTGGCATTAATCATATTAATCGTCAAGTGCCAAAAAGTAATCGATTAATTTTTTTCTGATGATTAATTGCACACGATACGATTATGCCCAACCCTAGCAGAGTGAGGATTAAAAGAAAAAGCAAAAAGACCTATTTATGTTAGTTTTAACATATATTCTGACACCACACACCAAATACACTCAACATGCCTGAAGCACAACCACTTTTGGCATGCCAAAGTATTTTTATAATGTGTGGATGAACTTACTGTAAACAAACACTTCTAATTACATTTTTAACACAGTGTTTTAGGGTCAAAGAGAAGCGGGTATTGCCTTGTACCCTCTCATCTCTCCAGTACAGTCATGAGCTGGTCAGTCCTGTGGGTTTTGGGGGAACTTGTTTAGAGTGTCACCGATCTCATTGAACCATAGCCCAAGGGGATAAAAATCAATGTAGCATTTGTTTGCTTTTCTGCAGGCAGGCCGGCCGGCATGCATAGTCCTGGGAATTCAACTGGAGATTCTTTAAAATGATTTAAACAGAATGTGAACTAGTTTTTAAGTATCAGGTGTAGGTAAAAAAATGAGCATGGGTTTAAGCATTGTGCGTCCTGCTGGATTTGGGTTTGAGTATGCACGCGCGCGCGCATGTGTGTGTGTGTGTGTGTGTGTGTGTGTGTGTATCATCAGATTTGGGTTTCGTCCTAATGGTGCAGAGAGAACAGTCAGTTCCAGGAGATGTGGTGATGACTCACAGGGCTGTCCTCCCAGCTCCTTCCCAGCAACTGCTGAATCATGCCAGTTACAACCACGGTCATCACACATTCACACACAAAAAAATGCAAAGACATGCACACACACACACACACAAGCTGTGTCACCCTCTCCTACATGCCTATCCAAACACACAAAGTGTTCAAACCTGCAATTCAGAAAAGACCTTAAGTAGAAACGTCTGTTAAATACAATATAAACAAAACCAGTCTTCACTTAAAAAAACTGTCTTCCTTATAAAAATCTGATCATTCAGTTATTTTTTTTCTGAATACTCATTTTTTTATTCGGCAACAAAAAAGAATCCACTGTCACATTTCCAATTACAGAGTTTGCATCATACTCCAAAGGCTTTGAAGTTGCACATTCCTAATATGCATGTGACATTAAATAGACTTGCTGAAATGTTATAAGATCAAAGTATTTGAATTTTTCAGTCTGCTTGACTTCCAACTTTTTCTGTACTAACCTTATATTCACAGCATTCACACAGCACTGTCAGTTAAAAAAATAACTAATAACTTTACTAAATAAACCAACACCACAGCAAACACTATAATAAACCTAACATAGTGCTCAAAATGGTGACCAGTTTAGTTTTATAACAGTTTTCCTGGTAGATTTTTAGCCCAAATTGTATTAATTCAATAGTGCAACCTATAACAGACACCTACAACAGGCACATTTGACATTTGGAATCTCACCAAGCATTAGAAATACATCTGAAAGGCTAAAAAAAGATATTTTGAAGTAAGAGTTTTGTGGAAACGTTACGAACAATAAAATCTTATCTGTACTAGATTCTGATGAATAGGAGCGTAATTCAGATTCATTTGACAAACTACAGGCTGGTCCAATCTGGGCCAAGCCCAAAGTAGATCGCAGCCATCTGAAAACTCCTGACTCAAAAGTTTCAGAGCAAAATGTTTTTATAAACCCCAATATTGTCATCATTTTCTCGTTACACAATTCTGGCAAAAATTCTGAAGGATTGCCACAGGCTGTACTGTGCTACAGCCTTCTCTTACTGCCATTTGCACTTGCAAATAAATTAGATCAATTTACATACCCAAATAAAAGAAACTGACAACAGTGTAAAGATTTGATGTTTTGGGGATTGGAGCTCTTAAGTTGGCAACAACAAACTTTGGTCTTAGCTTTGTTTCAACTAACTGTTAGCTCATCAATTCAGTCAGAATAAAACTGAGAACTGAGAACCTTTAAAGCGCTAAGAACAGGTATGTTAATACTGTTCATAATCTGTCCACAGAACTCAACTTTAAAGATATGAACAATTGCTTTAACACAGCTGTCACACACAAACATTGTTTAAAAAAATTAATACGAGGAATTCATGTAGAAAAACAGTTTACGACAAGAGCTCGTGTTACTGTCCTTTAAATTATATAAGAGCTCTTATCTGATAAAAGTAACATGCTTTGCGTAAATTACAACCCTCCCATGCTATCTGCAACGCCAGCCTTCTTTTGGGTTTCAAGTTTTTAAGCCAAGCCTTTAAACGAGTCACTGAGAGAAAAACATTCACTGTCCTATCGATCTGAAGCTATCACAAAGATTTGCTATATCACATTGCCTTGCCCGACTGCCCTCTGACCACATTCTGTCCACTTGCAGTTCAACTCAGCACTGATCTCACAAACTACTGGCAACCAGAAAATAACAAAAGGTATTAAAAAAACACTTTATACAGAATACATACTTTTGTTTAGACAAAAAAACAATAAAAAAGCTAAACTGGCAACTAACACATCAAGTTAAACGCTTGTTGTAAAAATAAAACTGAAGAGAACTACTGAATCATTGAGAATAGCTGTCAAATAAATGAGAACTAAAGAAAAGGTTCTGCAGAGATGAGACAGGCTACAGAAACTCTAAATAGGTTGAAGAAAAGGGGGATGGCAGGATGACAAAAGTTTGGAGCCAGAGAAAAAGACTTCAGAAGCGTTTGGTACGCAGACGTACAGGTCCACAGCAGTACACTACAAAGGAAGGAGCAGAGAAAAGAAAAGATGAGATTTGAAAGGAAACCAATCACGTAGCAACAATGGGAAATGAAAAACATTAGCAAAAAAAATCTAAATATTTAAGTCATCTGGCATTATAAGACAGAAAATGTGCAAAAACATCAAAATATTGGAATGTATTGTTTATATGTAGCAAAAAATGGCCCTCCAGTTGATTAGTTTGTCCTCAGTCCCAACCTTTAGAACCCTGAAAAACAAAGTATCTGAGAAGTGAACCTAGTCTGACCTAAGAACTCAGCAGTCCAAGTCAATGAAGGAGAGACTCTACATCTGAGGATAAATACATAAACACAAACTGCATAGAAACTGTGATTTAGACAAATAAAATAAGAAATAAAAAGTCAATAGAGCTCTTTTTAAGAAATTAGGAAAACAAGGAAAACACAGCTATAGTTCAAGAAGAAATATGCATGGAGGACCCATTTCCTCCACCTCCATGTGATCATCTGGGTTTACATTGTTTGAAGGGTCAACTGGAGGAATTACATTAATTGTTCCGCATGTCCTGGATTAAAGAAAAAAAATGCATGCAGGTGGGAAAGATTCTGGTCGTGTTTGAAAAACCAAATATTGTAACACAACTATAACTGTAGACATATCAAATTAAACATTTAATTAATATTAATCAGTTGTCTGTTTTTTTTAATATGTATATTATTTATTTCTTTTTTGTTGTTTATCTTTGTCATTCTCTGGTTACAAAAGACTGAAATGTTGGACTATGATATCAGTTTGCTTAACCACTACAACTACCTACAAAAATCTGAAATTTTGGCTCATATACTGCATGCAAATGCAAAAGGATTGCATAAAACTGATAGTAAATTACAACAGTTGGAGTGTATTTGTTTTCTGGGAGTCTAAATTTCCAAATTAGGAGGGTTTAAAGTATAAGTACAATATGTCAGTATTAAATTAATCACAGATATTTTATAAGGTAGACAGTATGACAAGATTAATGAGCACCAATAACCTAACAGTGCTAATGGGTCAGTATAAAGGATGATCACCGGTTTTTAATAACTTGGTGTGTGGATAGAAGAATAATTACATTGGTTTTTAAGATGATATAAAGCAGTCCCTGATAGTAACATATTGATTTAAAAAGGTTGCATCTTGAGAAGTGACTTATTTGTGTAGTTTCTTTTTCCTTTAAACAAAATGTGTCATTCCTGCTGCCCCAGGCTAACCACATTTTAAGTGTGTCTAACTGTGGGTAAAACTGTTGTAAAGACAGATTTATACACAGTCTTTCAGCACTATTTCTGTTTTTTACCACAATAAACACATTTTCCCTGATGAAAAACACAAAGCACTGTACATATTAGCAGTTTCATAAAATTAATTTTAAACATTATTATGTCATCACATTCTATTTTTATTTCAAGTAATTGTCTGCTGTTGACAGAATCGTTATATTTGCACTGTTATTCTGCCTAAGGAACTGATAACCAATCAACTTGTTTATACTCGGTCAGGAAAAGGACGTCCCCGACCCGCTGTCTCACGTTGTATAACACAAACTTGCCTGGTGTCCACCAGATTGTCCTTTGGTTGCCTTAAAGTGTCTGTGACTTAATTTTTTTTATAATAAGTATCAATGTATTTTTGGAAAGATGACATTGATAACATTTTGTAAAATAGATTTCACGCCACTGAAATGAACAGTTGTTGAGATATTTGCATGTGAAGAAACAGGAAGTGGTGTCAAAGGGGAATGTCTGAATGTAAACAGAATGTTGCTAAAATGGCTAACATCACAGACTGTAGAGAAAAATGGTGATGTTTCTTTAGAATTTTTTAATCATTATCATAGAGAGATGAGAAAGAGTTATAGTTCAAATAATATTGTTTCAATAAACAAAAACGGGGAGTTTTCTTTCTCAAAGAGTTCCCCTTTAATGTCACTTCCTGTTTCACTTTAGCTGTGCAAAATTCAAAAGAAAGTATGCCAATTATGTGACATAACGGGTCAAATCATGTTATGCCAAGCTATAAATACACTCACCGGCCACTTTATTAGGTACACCACGCTAGTAACGGGTTGGACCCCCTTTTGCCTTCAGAACTGCCTCAATTCTTCGTGGCATAGATTCAACAAGGTGCTGGAAGCATTCCTCAGAGATTTTGGTCCATATTGACATGATGGCATCACACAGTTGCCGCAGATTTGTCGTGCACATCCATGATGCGAATCTCCCGTTCAACCACATCCCAAAGATGCTCTATTGGATTGAGATCTGGTGACTGTGGAGGCCATTTGAGTACAGTGAACTCATTGTCATGTTCAAGAAACCAGTCTGAGATGATTCCAGCTTTATGACATGGCGCATTATCCTGCTGAAAGTAGCCATCAGATGTTGGGTACATTGTGGTCATAAAGGGATGGACATGGTCAGCAACAATACTCAGGTAGGCTGTGGCATTGCAACGATGCTCAATTGGTACCAAGGGGCCCAAAGAGTGCCAAGAAAAGATTCCCCACACCATGACACCACCACCASCAGCCTGAACCGTTGATACAAGGCAGGATGGATCCATGCTTTCATGTTGTTGACGCCAAATTCTGACCCTACCATCCGAATGTCGCAGCAGAAATCGAGACTCACTTCCAATCTTCTCTTGTCCAATTTCGATGAGCTTGTGCAAATTGTAGCCTCAGTTTCCTGTTCTTAGCTGAAAGGAGTGGCACCCGGTGTGGTCTTCTGCTGCTGAAGCCCATCTGCCTCAAAGTTCGACGTACTGTGCGTTCAGAGATGCTCTTCTGCCTACCTTGGTTGTAATGGGTGGTTATTTGAGTCACTGTTGCCTTTCTATCAGCTCGAACCAGTCTGCCCATTCTCCTCTGACCTCTGGCATCAACAAGGCATTTCCGCCCACAGGACTGCCGCTCACTGGATGTTTTTTTCTGTTTCGGACCATTCTCTGTAAACCCTAGAGATGGTTGTGCGTGAAAATCCCAGTAGATCAGCAGTTTCTGAAATACTCAGACCAGCCCTTCTGGCACCAACAACCATGCCAYGTTCAAAGGCACTCAAATCACCTTTCTTCCCCATACCGATGCTCGGTTTGAACTGCAGGAGATTGTCTTGACCATGTCTACATGCCTAAATGCATTGAGTTGCCGCCATGTGATTGGCTGATTAGAAATTAGGTGTTAACGAGCAGTTGGACAGGTGTACCTAATAAAGTGGCCGGTGAGTGTATATTTTATTTGATTTTTTTTGTATTTCATGGATATGCATGTCACAGGCACTTTAACAGCAGGCTCCAACGACCTTGAGGCTACAGCTCCTGGAAGCCACTTCTGAAATAGAGGGCCGAAACATGGTCCATACAGATTCCATGTCCCTAACCTCCACTGAGACAAACCAGTGAGATCTTTTCACTGATACATTCGGGCAACACTGTCAGGCTAAAGAGAAAGTGAAAAGTTTGAGTTTATAAATTTATGGATAGTTGAGCATCATCTGCTACAGCCTGTCTATTAAACGAGTCTTCTACTACTTAAACCTTCATCTTCCACTTATATTTACCAAACTTTTCAAGTCTCTCATTTTCCTCTTCATTACCCTGTTTTTCTCTCTAAAAAATCTGCCTATACTCTGTTTTCTGAACTTTATTCTAGTACTAATTTTGCATCTTTATTGAGGTCCGTGGATCTCTCATCTACTTCTCTTTTAGACACGTCAACGCTATCTTATTTTGCCACAGAGAATATTCTGGGTTATGTGTAAGTCAATCTAAGGGCATCCGAAGGTCAATAAGTTTAAATCTGTGACAGATTTATCAACCTTTGTATCTACCAACTGTCAGAATTTCTGTATTTTTATGTGTACGAAAGAGATAGAAAGAAAAAAAAGGAAAATACGAGGTGAAGAGATAGATAAAACATTAGAGGTTGATAAGCCCAAGTGAAAAACAAGAACGCCATTGTCTCAAACTGTGATGAAAACCAGCTCCACTAGTTTCTGTCTTTCACACACAAACAAGCTCCCTTTCTTTAAGAGTTCGTCACTTCTGACAGTAAAAGTGTCAGATGCTGCTGCAGAGTGACAGCTCAGCTCTCCGGGGCAGACAGGTAGGAAACCTCTACGGGCAGCGTGCAACTGTTTTACTGCTTTATCACTGTCAGGAGCTCAGTGATAAACAGATGAGAATAGTTTTCTCCTCAATGGTATACTTGCTTTTAAAATCTAGCTTTAATTCAAAGTGTGATAAAATAAATGTTGTGGACAATAAAGCTAGTACTCTGCAGGATTTTACACTCAAGAACAATTAAAAGTATGTTTGACCTATAAATCTGTTTGGATGCCATATTTGGGCGCTGTGGCTTGTTGGGTAAAGCAGTTGTTCTATAATAGAGGTCAGACGTTTGTTTCCAGCATTAAGTCTTGTTTCAAAGACGTGTGATCCATCGGTGTATGAATGTGACCAAATCCCTCAGCCTATTCAGATTAGCTTTGCAGAGATGTAGAAGAGTGCTGTATGAACGTGTGTGTGGATGGGTAAATGAGAACTGATGGTGTTGTAAAACACTTTGTGTTCTGGTTAGCTAGAAATATGTTATACAAGTACAGTCCATTTATTATATTATTACTATTATGAGTTAATACGTCTTGAATTAACAATTTCCCTCAGTTTTACATTTTACATAGGAATCTACATCCCTAATGCATAATCTTAGATGCAGGTGGTTATGTCAAATAGTAATTCCTCTGAACTGTGATGGACACCATCATTTCAATGTGCAAACTCCAAAATGTTGATTTGCCCTTTTATAAGTGTCCTCCTTTTTTTATTTAGGATTTTTTTTCCAGACAAATAGGTCTTGGAACAACTCCCCTTTTCAGAATATCAGTCATGTTTAAAATTATTGTCAGAAACAGTGTCAGCTTTAAACAATTATTTTCACTTTGAATTATTCCCCTTCCTTTTTCCTGTATCCGTCTCACAATTTAACTTGGATTTTGTTAGTAATTAGTTAAAATAATTTAAAAAAATGGTTTTGTGAACATGAACACTGATGTAAACTTTTAAAAGTTAATAAAAAGAATAAACTGAACTAACCCCGATGGATTGACGCGGTCCAGATCAATTCAGTAACAAATAATTAATGCTTGTTCAACAACCTGTTTCTGAATGTATTCAATTATTTTTTTTACTGTCTTATATGTTACTTACCGGTACACTTTAGGCTTAAAGGGTAACCTTTTCTAATTGAATAAAAGTATATTAAAAGATCAGTTTTATGCTTTTCTGTATTTGAATCAAATTAAAACGTCTTTAAATGCTTTGTTTTTATACCGTCTAATATGGAGTTAAACCAGTGACAGCTTACATTGATATTGAAATAGAGATTTGACATTGAAAATGAAACATTGAAAAAAAGAACAATGAAAAGATTTTGGCATTGCAACTTTAAAATGCCAAAATCTTTTCAATGTTCTTTTTTTCAATGTTTCATTTTTCAGTGTTTCATTTTTTAATGTTGGATTTTTCAATGACAATGTTTTATTTTTCAATGTTTCTTTTTTCAGTGTTTCATTTTTCAATGTCAAATCTCTATTTCAATATCAATGTAAGCTGTCGCTGGTTTAACTCCATAATCTAACAGATATTTACCCATTCCACTGTGACGACTGTTCTCCACTTCATCCAATTTCAGGTTCAGCGCCAACTCTGTGTCTGACCTGGAACTACTGTCAGAGTTCATGTCCTGATCTTTTTGGCCCGGTGAGCTGATGGATTCTTTTGCTGTGGACTGGACCTTCACAGAACCGCTTTCTGTGCTAGCAGTGCTGCAGGGAGAACCGGCCTGTTCGAGGTCAACATCAGAGTCGTCAAGGCTGCGGCTGAACTCCGAGCTGGAATCCTGCACGGCCAGGCTGTCGGTGGTGCTGCTGCTCAGGGACGGAGAGCTGGGAGTTGGAGTGACGTTGCGCACAGGCAGAGGCTGAACCGTTCTTTTGCGGGGAGATGGTTTCACGGTTTGTACAACAACTGAAACATCAGGCACTGCGGCTGACTGTGCCACCTTGTTGCGGCTGGCTGGGGTGGGTATTTGGTCGGTAGAAGGAGCAGTAGGTGCTGAAGTGTCATCAGAAGTCTGGGCGATGCAGGGTGGAGTGGGAGGCGGAGCTGGAGCCTTTCTTTTCCTTTGGCTTTCTAATGCAAGGTCCACCTGACAAACATGTTAAAGTAAAGAAGGTACAAAAGGACAAAGTTAATTTATATAAGCACTGTGTGTGTGTGTTTAGGAGAGTTAAACATAAATTATTCAGTAAATTTAGATGTCAGGATTAAAACAGAGTTTACTATCAAGCAATCAAACTGAGTGGAGTTCTGGCAGAGGTCTAAGTCTTTGGCCTATTACAGCGTCAACATTCCTTTTAAATTATTGTGCAAAGGAGGCATATAAGGTCTGCCAACAAGTCATGATGCTGTATTATTTTGACAAAACACTTATCTGTGCATTTTACTGTGGTATTTCCTATTTTTTTTGAGCAACTCAATCACTATTTAAGTATAATACGGTTGCACAAGTTTACATTAACTTCAGGGATGTGACAGCTCATTTATCAGCAACATAAAGAAAAATGACTGTACTTTGCGCTGCATTTTTTAAAACCAAATTAAGTTCAGTTTAAATGCTACAATCCAGACAAGACCTCAATGAAAAAAAAATCCACCAACTGATATATTTATGCAGCTGTCAATCTGAACCTGAAATGAAAAGTAAACTAAAACCAAAACAAACGCTTTTTTAAAATAAATGTACCGCCCATTTCTACTTTATTTGTCTCTCTATAAAACTCTCAAGACATGCCCAGAGCTGCATAAAATGTTGCATCATTCAACAAGGCAAGAAAGAGATCAAGCCACCTTGCCTTCCCACAGGCACACTGGGTTCAAACATGAACTCAGTGAACTCACTGCATGGGATGCTATAGAAATCCATTTGGCCCCCCAACTGGTAGTCTCCATCTTCACTGCTCTCCTGTTTTCTTCCTCTTGTTTTCATACTATATATAAACAAATAGAAAAACTACAGTGGAAGTGGGCCAAAGTTGAGAGGCAGTGAACAATGGACCTGCCAATAAAATGGATGTGTGTCTGTGTTCAATTCAATTCAATAATACTTTATTGATCCCAGAGGGAAATTAGGTGTTGTGTGTGCATTTATTTATTCAATTCAATTCAAAAATACTTTATTGATCCCAGAGGGAAATTAGGTGTTGTTATCTTTACGTTTGCATAATGGTGTATCCTGCAGCGTAAGACTGGAGTTGGACTTTGCCCTAAAACAGACACCAGAAACTGCAACGCACAAGCAAGTGCACACACATTCTTACATATGAGAATACAGAAATCATATTTGGAGTTGTGTTGAAATGTATATCAGGGGTGTCAAACTCCAGTCCTCGAGGGCCGCTATCCTGCATGTTTTAGAGGTTTTCCAGCTCCAACACACCTGATTCAGTGATTGAATTAACTCTTCAAATTGGGCAGAAGCCTGTTAATYACCCAGCGATCAAAACCAGGTGTGTTGGAGCAAGAAAACCTCTAAAACATGCAGGATAGCGGCCCTCGAGGACAGGAGTTTGACACCCCTGGTATAGATGAACATGTCAGGAAGGGTTAAATAACTGTTGCTCTCTTAGGCTTATGACGCCAAAACTGGGAATGCAACATGCACTCAAGAACTCAAGATAAAACTTTGAATTATACTGAACCACATTCAAAGTCAAAATATACTGTAAGTTATACAAACAATGGGCCTCATGCAAGAACATTTTCATATTCTTATACTAAATTTCTCTTGTGTATGCAGCTGCTCGCACACGAAGAGAAGAGATTTGTACAATTACCACCCTAAAAACCACCATATAAGGCTGTGTTTCCTGCCCCAGATACCAGGAAGTGTCCATTCATAAATGACATCGCAAAGTAAAAAGAAGAACTTTACAAGTTCGGAGATTGAAGTCCTGCTCTCAGAGATCCAGAAAAGAAAACCTGTCATTTTTAGCAGCGTCAGCTGTGGAATTAAAGTAGGACCTGCTAAAGCTGAGGAATGAAATTTGCTGTTGTGTCTCCCATGGGTAATATACAGTCACAGAAATAAAAATCTAAATCTAATTCATCTCTCTCTAGTCCAGCTCTGGTTTTCCTTTGGTCAAATATTTTTAATTTAAGTGTAAACAACTAACTGTGTTACATAGTTTTCATTTATTCAGAAGAGCAGTTGCAACTCAAAATATCTTCAAACTAATGCAATATAAAGTTTTTAGAGAAGAAAATCAATCTGGATAACAGCAGACTGACTGCATGTAAAATATACGACAGGTCTGGACCACTTGTGAATTTTGTTCGTATCTGAAAAAAAATTTAGAATACGAGATAATTGGTGAATGCCATAAACTCTCCTAAATCACGCACACGCACAACTTAAAAACAAATCTGTTTGTTCGAAAGGTTCTTATATGAGGCCCATTGAGGTCTGAACAAAGTGTACTTATTGTAAAAAAATAATTCAGTAGTAGTATTATCAGAGGCAGTATTTAGTGTTTTCCAATGTCACCACAGCCTTTTTATGCTTTAATGCCTTTAAAGGATAATTCAGATACTTTGAAGTGGAATTTGATGGGAAGGTAATAACTGCTTACCTGTTGTTATATCTCTAAAAAACCTCAGTTTGAGAAACAGACTTTAGTTCTACCAGTCTGACAAGCTAATGGCTAGTCTGAACAGTGACAAAAGTAGATTGCTGCAGTCTTAAAATAACATCAGTCTCAAAAAGCACTATTGTAGACTTTTATTCACAACCACCATTTTACAGTACACAAAGATTCTGATAGAAATATTTCAATTTTATAGCTTAAGGTGCTCAATGTAACATTGAAAGTGCAACAGCTAGGTAGATATCAAATACCAAAAGATTTAGATTGGTGTGATTTTGGTTACTTCTTATTAGTTCTTTGATTTTTCCTTTTCTGTGTCTTTGGATCCTAGTGTTCCGTAAAAATGTAGTTCAGTTTTTTTCCAGATCAGTGATTTTCCCTGTGCCATCCTCCTCCTCCAACTCCTCCTCAGTCAGCTCCCCCAGTGTTTTTCCAGTCAGCCTGCCACTCTCACCTGTTTCCAGCTTGTCTCTCCAATCAACCCAGCCCTAGTCTCTTCCATCACCACCTCAGCAGTGTATTAGTGGTTCCCATGCAATAAGTCTGGAGTCGCTTTGTATTTTTCCAGTGTGAGTTTGCTGCCATGTCAGGCTTTTGTTTTATTTTAGGTAAATAAAGTTTTTGGATTTAGACTTTATCGTGTCTGCCTGCAAACCTGGGTTCCATACCTCTTGTGACAGTAACAGAATTCTTTGGACATAATTGGAAAAGGCAAAACTGACAGTAATGTAAGGGTTTTTAAAATAGTGTTTTGAAATTAGTTGTTCAAAGACAGCATAAATCTATTTTAGCCTTGCTTGGCCTAGCCAGGGGTCAAAATAAGGGTCTTTACGTTGTCCGGGACAACCTTTTTCATTTCAGATAACCAGATCCCACCTCCTGGTTGTGCGGTGGACAACCAAGTAATAGGAACGAGATTGAATTTCTCAGCCTGCAACGGATGTCCTTCATTTGTTAAAATGAAAGGGGGAAAAACTCTTTAAGTCATCCAGGTATTAAACTGACAGTTCTTTCAAACAATAAAGAGAACCACAGTCAAGGTTCTACTCAATCAGAGCAGAGCAGGGTGAGTCGTGCTGTCTTGTCAGTCTGCACAGTCTTGAGTCAGACGGCAGGTGAAAGCTCTCAGCATTTCCTGGACTCCTTCCAATGAGGATTACGTATTTTGTTATATTTCTGAAAGCACCTCGTAAGCATTTCCACCACTGTGTGTTCACACGCACAACAAAATTGCGAGAGATCATTTGACCGTAGTTTTCTAAGTGGAGGCTCTGAGGCTGCTTGACTGCATCTCCTCCTGCAATGTGCCTCCAACTTGCCTGGGACTTGCATGAAATGTCCCTTTTAAAGAACTAAACCTGAACAAGCTGCTATGTTAGTTAAATTTTCTTCTATATGATTTGTGAGGCCAAGAGCCCTACATTTAAGCATATTGATCAGACATGACCACCCACGGAGGATTGAACCCGACAGCGTTACCACTCATTTATTCTTTTGAAGGACTCTTCATGGGTCAGGCCCTTTGTAACAGGACAGCATTACAGTGCTAATGTGGAATGTGAAATGGAGTGTGTAAGAAAAGAGGATGACACTGCGTGTGTGTGTGTGTGTGTGTGTACGTGTTCGGGCTTGCTAACATGCATGAGCATATTTACAAATGGTTCTGTAAGCGCAAATGTGTGTGCATGCATGTGCATGTCATAGATAATAATAGCAGCTGAACTGTGTCAATGCTGAGGACACTGATGGTGTAAACACCCTAAGAGCAGGCTGGAAGACAGTTGGCAAGTGTTATTATGTGAGTGTTATAATGAAGATGTATGGGCATGTATGGGTGTGTGGTTTTATGGGAGAGAGTGAGAAAAAGAGGAAAAGAGGGAAATGAAATTAGTTTTATGCAACAAAAAATGTTATGTGTAAGAGTGAGCAGTGAAGGTGGGTGATAGAGTTTTATTGGATTTATTAAACTTCTTAAGGTGTTTCAAATAAAGTCGTGAGGTACGTGACAAATTTATTATTCATCATGGCGTGTCCACAGACTGTTTTAAGCAGAGCTAGTAAGACAAAACACCTCTGTGTTGTTTTTTACTATTATTCACATATTAAACCCCAGCAACAAGTGTTTTGATTGGTTCCTCTCTTGTGACAAACCACATAACTGATTTCTGATTTGTTGTTAACATTGTGTGACCTCACTCTTACATGTCTGAATAAAACGATTGTTCACGCCCCCAGAGGGCAGAACTTCTCTGATCTTCACCAGGCTTTCGTCTGAGTTAAGTATCACTGAACTTCTCCTCTTTGCAAAGTGATCTATAAATCTTACTGGTCTCTGGTGTCAATTGATTAATGTTTCGGCCGGGCTTGTTGTGGTTTCTCTGAGTTCCCAGGTTAAAAAACCGAACAGTGGGGATAAAGGCTGGAGATGGATAAGGAAACACAACTACCCCACTCTTGTTGCGGTTATCCTTTGTCCTATTGTTTTAATTTTTTTACCCTTTTC